TTTTCTTTTTCTTTCAAATTCCGTTAACCAAAATTTCTAGGGAAAAAAGAATACTCCCTTCGTTCCTAAATATTTGCCACATCTATTTTTTCAGCAGTCGCAAAAACTTTTGTTTATTCCTACGTTTTCATTGATTATTTCAAAAATAAAAATATTCTCGACACCTCTTATTTCGAAGAACTTTTTACGTAGTTTTTTGATATGTAAAATTTATTTTTTATTTCTATACCAATATGTAAATAAAATCAAATAAAAAATTGATATTTTACCTCAGTAATAGAATTTTAATTGTGACAAATATTTAGATAAAGCGAGAGTATTGAAGATACTGTTTAGTGTAATTTTCACCCAATGTAATGTGGTCTGATTTATTCACACAATATCAGCTTGAGACTCGATCGCTTCCATGTCGGAAATCAATTTCTTCAGTCATTCCCTACCATCGGACCTTCTACATAAGCGTCATACCCGATACGCTAGCGGCTAGACCGGAGCTCTGATTTATTCACCACAAATGCCATTTCCAATTCATTGAAAAAAAAAACATTTGGGTCCCGTTTCGTATACGGAATTCAAACTATGCAATTGGAATTGAAGACTTCAATTCCAATTCTCATGTTTGGTAGCTCAAAATTATGTGGATTTGGAATTGGTAGTGCAAAAAATGAATTAGAATTGGTGAATTCAATTCTATGGAATTGAATCCCATGGAATTTTAATTTCAATTCAATTCTAATTCCATCAATTCCGTGTACCAAGCAGACCCTTGGAGAACTTATTTTTCTAAATCAATTTCGTAGGATTTTAGCTCCTAATTTAATTTCAATTCTGTGTACTAAACGGACCATGTGGTAATAATCATATATCACCTTTTTTGTTCTATAAATCTTTCGAAATAGCTAGTAAAAAAGACATACTATGGGTTAAGTAGATTCATAATAAGTGCTCCCTCCGTCCTATAATGATCTTCCCGGTTCGCAAAACGAAGAAAAATCTCAAGTTTTTTCAATTTATTTTATTTAAATATTGGTATAGAAATAAAAAATAAAACATACATATTTAAAAACTATATCAAAAGGTCAACAAAACAAGTGGTGACAAGAATATTTTATTTTATCATATAGGTCATGAAAAAACACAAATAAATATAAATTTCCGTGAAGTTGGAATAGTGCTCTGGGAAGATCATTATAGGACGGAGGAAGTATCTTAAAAAGGGATAATATTTGGACTGTTCCACCCAAGCCTAATTTCTGTTACTATTTGAAAAAAATCCTGTTGAGGAGGAAAGATTTTGAGGGCATGCCCATCAGAGAGAAATATGATGTTCAAGGGGGGTATGAGTGGCTTATGGGAGACAATACTAAGGTCTAATGGAACTGGTTTGTTTGGAATAAGCTCACAATTCCCAAGCATCAATTCATTCAGTGGCTGGGATGGAAAGACAAATTACAAACCAAAACAAGGCTAGCAAGGTATATGAACATTAGTACTCAATGTGTTCTCTGCTCTATACATATAAAAGACAAAGAGCATCTGTTTTACTCTTGCCCTTATACTAGAGGTATCCAAAATGAAATACGCAATTGGGTTGGGACCAGATGGATAGCTAATAATGACAAAGAGATGTTGGGGGCAATTCAGCAGATCAAAGGTAGGAAGAACAGAGGTATTGCAATTGCAGCTTTTGCTGCAATATGTTATGCAGTGTGGAAGGCAAGAAACAAGAAAATTATGAAACAGGAGGAGGTGACTATTCTGGATTCCTGCTACTGGATTAAAAACCAATTGAAGACATATATTAACCATAAATTAAGAGTAGTGCAGATTGTTTAGCTGTTTTGCTGCTAGTCTAATGTTTCTGATTTTCAATATGGTTGTATATGTGAACTGAATGTTGTGGTTAATATTATGAGCTTTGTTCAAAAAAAAATCTTTCGAAATAGTTTTAAAACATATAAAATTTTTTACAATAATTTATAAATAAACAAAATTAAAAATAAAATTAAAAATAATTTCAATCAAATATCATAATAACAAAAAAACAAAAGGACGGAGTTCGTTGCAACAAAAAATTTATTTTGAAACATGAGATGAATCTATTGGAAATTGGAATAGTAAGAAGAATGCAGTCTAGTTTGGGAACAATGTTTTCCATTAGCGCTATCGGTTTGGATAAAATTATAATGGTTTAGATTAATTATGAAAATGATAACGTTAAAAGCTACCGTCATATAGCCTTTTTAAAATTCTAACGTGAACATCTAACATCGATACAAAAAATGGATGTTGGGAATCAACGGCTAATTCTAAGAGTCAAATTTTAAACTACTTATTTTGGGTGTTTAAGTAGTCAAATCAACTACTTGTTGTCAAAACAACCAAAAAATGCCGTTAACCAAACAATGTTTTTATATTAGGTACTTCGTCCAAATGCTATTTATAAGTTTTTGTTCTATAAATCATTTGAAATAATTTTTAAACATATCAATAATTTTGAAATAAATTAAATAAAAAATAATTTTAATCAATATCATAATAACAAAAACACAAAAGGGTGAAGTTAATTAATTGCAACAAAAAAACTATTTTGAAACATTAGATGAATCTATTGGAATAAGGAGTAAATTTTTGTGATTTTATAACCCAATTCATTTTATAAATCAAAAGTAAATCTTACATTTTAAAATTGCATAAAAAAATTTACAAAATAAATGGAGATATAACCATTTTTATATCAAATGATCAATACAAATACATACACAAATAAAAACTATCTATAAAGCCTAAAATCGTAAAAGAGGGACGTGTAGTTTGGAGGTGAAGAAGTATGATCAAATTAGAATTAGTGGAGAATATGGCACTCACCACTCAAACATACCACGAATACTAAGAGTAAAACATGGATAACAAAGTAAAATAGAAGTTTCATGCTTTTATTCTCAAAATAGACAATAAACCATCCTCATAATCCATCATCGACGTCTGCTTGCACTAGTACAAGGGGTACCATTACCCACAAGCTGGTTACCATCTGGAACACCAATTGACAATCATATTTGGCAACTGACGATAACGGTGTTACCGGTAGACGGTAGTTCATTACTGGTACATCGTAGCGGCACTCGGTACCTTTTAATAATCTATCCATCAAATTATACTTTTACCTATCACATCAAAGGACATTTTTGGAAATTCAATACCAAAATACACTCCCCTTAAATTCCTCCTAAAAAGCAAAAGTCACATGTTTCATGGGACGGAGGGAGTAGTTCACTTCAAAATTTGCCTTTGATGTGATGGATAAAAGTAAAATGTGGTAGATAGATTATTTATGATGTGATAGGTATGGTATGAAAAAGTAAGGGTAAAAATGGTTTTTTAATAGAAAGTGGAAGTGTTTTGTTGGAAATGGAAAAAATGAAAGAGAAAGTGTTTTTGAGAACGGAGGGAGTATAGTAATTTGCACATGTACACTGCCACATCACATTAGGGCAAAGTCACATTACCACAATGCAAAGTCTTATTTCGGGAAAAAAACATGAAAGTCCCATTTTGATACTTTTCTATATGTTTTAGTCATATTTAAGGTGATTTCTATGCAATATTGTCAACAAAGGTTTCGTAGCTCACATAGTGATGAAGTGTAGGTGGAGGACATAGCTCTTGAACCCTAGCTCTGTTTTATTTATCTCTTCTCATTTTTTAAATTTTCCTCAAATCTCTTCACTTTATTTAATCCCAAGCTTCAAACATTGTTTTTTTTTGTCTTTCAAATTAGCCCCCATTGTGTTCAAATAGCAGCAAAGTATGTGCAAAAATATAAAAATCAAGCATAGGTTTGCTCTACAAAAAAATAGAAAACTAAAATAATACGAAGTATGTAAATATTAAATTTAATTGAGAACCAAAACTCATCCAAAATATGCCTAAAAAGTGTATAAAATATATGTACATCAATATTCTAACATTAGATAAGCCCACAAACTTACCTCGTCATGAAATCAAACGACGATCAACAGAAAACTAATGTACGGTGATAACGATAGCGCAACGGTGATAGCCGTCCTTGGGTTGCTGTAACTTACTCATTTTCCTTCTTCTTTTCCCTTTTGCTGTCTATAGCTCGCGCAGAGGGCGGCCTGATTTGACATTGTTGGTTACTCTGATCCGATCGAGGTGGTTTTCATTTACCAGCACGTAGGTGGTATAAATTCCTATGACTATTTTTTCCGTAGAGGTTGACATAGGAGAGAGAGAGCACTTGACAAACTCTGCACTTCCTCTCCCATTGGTCGAGGGATTCCCTTTGGTCGTACCTCTCCCGTTGGTCGAATGAGTGTAACATAGTTTAACTCATTCGAAGAGGGGAGAGGGACTTCGTACCTCTTCGAGCGACTCCCTTTAGTCGTACCTCTTTCAAATAAGTTGCTGGAGTGGAGAGAGAGAGACTGGGTCGTAAATATATGTATAACACGTATACGTGCGTTAAAAATTTAAGTATAAATTTTGTGTCTCGTAATTAATTAATGTACCTTAGGTTGTATTTGTTTGAGGGTAAAATATTTTCTTTGAAGAATATTTTCTAAAGGCAAATAATTCCAAGTAAAATTATTCTTCAATTATATACTCCGTAATACATTGTTTTGTAGAAAAATATTTTCCTTCCAATGAGAATAATTGATATCTAAAATTCTTCCAATGTAATTAAAAAAATCAAGTTGGACAAATATACTGGAACAAATATTTTGAAGATTTAAGTAATTTTCACATAGCGGGCCACACGCCATGTCACATCTTTTCTCCAATTTCCTCGCGAGGCTTCTTTGATCCCCCAAGCCAAACGTGTGAGGCGCGGGGCATCATTCCATTTTTTAAAAATCTTTTTTGTAGAAGAAAGAAATGTTTTTTTTAAAAAGTACATATATTTTTTTAAAGATAAATGAAATAATTTTTAATGATTAAAATATGATAAAAATGTAAAATTGTGACAAAAATAAGACTTGTTGCACACTTTAGAAAAAGAGTGGAGTTTTGGGAAGATAGGGAAAGGACCGGAGGAGGAGGAAGACGCAAAAATGTTAGGAATTTTGAGTCGGAGAGCATCAATAACAGCTTCAAGACGCTCGCTTCCATGTCGGAAATCAATTTCTCCGGTCATTCCCTACAATCGGACCTTCTGCACAAGCGTTCTACCCGATACGCTAGACCGGAGCTCCGATTTGTTCACCACAAATTCCAAATCCATGGAAGATCTCGTCTCTCAGCTCAATTCTCACATCCGGAAGGTCATCCATTCCCTCTCTTTCGGCATAATTCAAGATCTGTCGTTTTTTTGCCCGCGAACTGAATATCTAAGGCCTGAAAATTGTATAGGCGATGGAAGGAGGAGGAGCGGAAGCTGTTAATCGGAACAGGAGCAGGAACAAGCTTCTTCCGAGAGAGAGAATTGATCGTCTGCTCGACCCTGGTTCTTCGTTTCTAGAGCTTTCTCCAGTTAATATCATCCCAACTTCAATTTTTTTTAGTATCAAACTAAAATTCTTGAAGATACTCGAAGTAATAGGCCATTTTTGGTATGGAAAAAAAAGCATTTTGTTTAGGGGGAGTATTTTTTTTCATCATTTTGACTTGAACCACTTTTAGTCGTCAAAATGCTATTCAAATGAACTCAAAGTTAAGATCAGCATTTTGAAAACCAGCTTTCTGATGCTGTGTATTAACATTTTAGCTTTATCTCTTTAGCAGTATTCTACTAAGTTACTAAGAAGTTGTTTGGGGTGTGTGATAGATTTTTGAAGAAGTAAAGTTACAAGTCAAAATTAGAAGAAACTATCAAACTAGCCTTAGTTTTGCTAAAAAAACACTTCTGGTGTTTATTTTACACGTCCGAAGTCATAAGCTCTAAGTAGAAGTAGATTGTCAAACACACTAAGCTGTACTTTGAAAGAATAGAAGCTCAAAAGCACCTTTCAAACATAAGCCCGAGCACCTTCTAAGCATTTTTTATACGAGTACAAACTATTACTCTCTATGCCACTAGATTCTTTGCGGTTAATATTCATGAGTCAAACTTAATCATTTATTTGCATGTTTTCATCTATCATTTGATAAAATAATATAATCATGTCAACTTTATTTTGTAGATCATTTGATGTAGTTTTTAATATATAAACTTTATATATTTTACCTTTATACCTACGGAGTAATATTTAAATGAAATGAATTGAAAATATCATTAGTCAAGCATCATAACTCGTGTGTCAAGAATCCAATGGGGACGTAGGGAGTAATTGTTAGAATGTTAGTAAAACCTGCTAATACAATTGTCAACTGATATAGTGATATCTCTTATGCATGATTGATATCTACTAATTTCTCCTTTCTGAAAATTGCCTTACTTTTACATTCTCAGAGCTTCAAAAAACTATTGAAAAATGAAAAGTGTGTGGTTGGAATTGATACAAAGGCGAGATTATTTAAACCACATTTTCTTTCCCTTAAAAGGAATGTGACTTTTATTTGGGATGAGCGAAAAAGAAAGTGAGACAATTATTGTGGTACATAGTGATTATATGGTAACCATTTGCTGCTAACTACTGTTTTCCAAATGCACCCTTGATCTTGTAAGCTTTAGGTAAAGCGTAGGCAATCAGTATAGGATTTATAAGATAGAGAATATGTAACACTGCTTTTCTTTTTGTGAACCTATGTTTATATGAATGTAGCTTGCAGGGCACGAATTGTATGAAGAGAAATTACCTTCTGGTGGAATAATTACTGGAATAGGAGCAGTGCATGGAAGACTTTGTATGTTCATGGCAAATGACCCTACTGTCAAAGGTGGAACTTATTTTCCGATCACAGTAAAAAAACATCTTAGAGCACAAGAAATTGCTGCACATTGCAAACTACCCTGTCTATATCTTGTTGACAGTGGAGGGGCTTTCCTTCCTAAGCAAGCCGAGGTTTTTCCCGACAAGGAGAACTTTGGCAGAATATTCTACAATCAAGCCATGATGTCTTCCGATGGTATTCCTCAGATCGCATTGGTTTTAGGCTCTTGCACTGCTGGTGGGGCTTATATACCTGCAATGGCAGATGAAAGTGTAATGGTCAAAGGAAATGGTACCATATTTCTTGCTGGGCCTCCACTTGTTAAGGTCTATTCAGAGCCCGCTGGTATTTGACAACATAAAATGAATTTAAAAAAACTTTGTGAATGCACGTACCATATATCTAAGTGGAGACCTTTTATACAGGCTGCTACAGGAGAAATAATTTCAGCGGAAGATCTTGGTGGTGCAAATGTACATTGCAAAACATCGGGTGTTTCTGACTACTTTGCCCAAGGTATATACATCCGCATACAAGAGTAAGTGCTCACTTAGAGCGGCTTATAGAGAACACTTTTCCAAATAAGTACTTTTCTAAAAACCACCTATTTGGTGTTTTTATATTGATAAAACTCATAAAAGTGATTTTAATTCTGTACAAGATAAAAATTAATGATTCTCTACTCAACATAATCATTTTTATTTTAATTATAGCATCAATATATTGCTTTGGAAACTAACGAGCTCTTATATGATTCCATAATCAAAGGATACGTTTGAATATCAGAAAATACTAGGGAAAAGAAAAAACTAAAAGTTATTTTCTTATGTTTGGCTTCATCTTGGAAAATGCTAGGGAACATGGAATATATTTAATATTTTTTATATCTTTACATACATTAGACTTTTTTAGTGTTTACATAATAGAAAGAATAAAATAAAATGAGTGAGAACAAATGTCTAAAATGAGTCTATTGAGTTTGGGCCTTTTCTATGTTTCCCCCAACTTTTCTCTCATTCCGACTTTTCCCCTCTATTTTCTTTCCTAGTATTTTGAAAGTCCAAACGAATCCTGAAGTATGGATGAAAGTTAGGGCCATAATCACAAATGAGAGAGAGAATATCAATTGAACAAATTTTTCCTTAAAAGGAAATGGGAAGAAAAATTTTGGGACAACCCAAAGAAGAGAACGTTAATAAAATTTTGGCATCGATTGAGTATATAATGTGTTCATATTGTTACTTATGGCACCGGTGTTATGACTATGTTTTAGACGAATTACATGCACTTTCTATTGGGAGGAACATTGTTAAGAATTTGCACATGGCTGGAGGCCAACAAAAAGGCTCAACACTTACCCCAACTGATTTCAAAGAGCCAGTGTATGATGTGCAAGAACTTCGTTCCATTGCACCAACAAACCTCAAGCAGTCTTTTGACCCCCGATCAGCGATTGCTCGCATTGTTGATGGAAGTGAATTTGATGAATTCAAGAAACTATATGGCACTGTGAGGCCTTATTTCTATTGCCTTACTCCCTTTTCATTTTTCCTAGGACTTGCATTGTGGATAATTGTCTCCCCTTTTATACAGACACTTGTTACAGGCTTTGGGCGAATATTTGGAAATCCCGTGGGGATCATTGCAAACAATGGCATATTGTTTAGTGAATCTGCTTTGAAAGGAGCTCACTTCATTGAACTGTGTAGTCAGCGCAACATTCCTTTGATCTTTCTTCAGAATATTACGGGGTTCATGGTGTGTTATTTTTCCCATCCATGTAGTTTGATAACAATTTCTATATACCTCTCTAGTCTTTACTTCAATCCAACCTGTTAATTCTCATGAAAAGAAAATTAAGCCAACTTACAGTCTCTTAGTGAGTAGATTTTTGCTGAAGAATAAAAAGATATGGGGTAGTAGTTTGCCTCTATGGATTCTACCACATCTGAAATTGACTTTAAATAACTAAAGTTTGTTCGGATTTGATTTTCACAAGCCAAAAATAATTTTGTTTAGAAAGCACATTCCGGGCAAGTGTTTTAGGAAAATTATTACTACGTATTTTTTTGTTGCTGTTGATTCCTATACTCCCTCACTATTTATTTAGTTATTCTCCACTTCCATTGCAAGAAAAATTTCAAATACATGTTACACTTTTTTTTTGGGCAACTCTGCGGTACACTCACGGATGGTATCATACTCCACAGTCCACACTCATAAGGTCACAACACAACAACAACCACAACCCAGGTGAATCTCACAAGAGTAGGATGTTGGGAGGGTGTGTGTACGCAGACCTTACCCTCCCCTACTCGAAAGTAGAGAGGTTGTTTCCAAAGAGACCCCTGGCTCAGGGTCGAAAGCTGCATTGATTGACTAACTACTACTTCATTAATTAAAGAAGCGCAAACAATTTAGAAATCCATTTTGCTTTATACCATCACACCCCAAAGCCAAAAAGTAGTGAATTTTTTGCTCAATTGGAGATGATGGAGCGACGCATAAGGTCACAAAAAAAGAAAAAGAAAAAAAACTATAATTGGAACATTTTCCTTCTGCGAAGCATGGTACCCAATGGGTACAGAGCCTTCAACTTCTTTTTTTTGGCAAATGAGAACTTGGCAAATGACATAACACGATCGGTATTTCATACTCATGAAGGCCTGAAGTACTGTTGCTAACAAATTTGGGTAGGTTGGCTCTAAATCAGAAGCAAATGGTATAGCAAAAGCTGGAGCAAAAATGGTGATGGCAGTTTCTTGTGCAAAGGTTGGTGTTTACATTTAATGTAATAGAACTTATTGATTTTGTCTTTCTATAAGTTAATGTTCCACTTGTTCTCTGAGGCTTTGGTACACTGTCAATGATAGCTTTACTTTAGCTACTAGTGTAGAATTATGAGATCTCATCCCAAAACCAATTGGCAATGGGAGGGGTAACTATATTCTTATATACTCGTACAAGTCTTTTTTAGTTTGGGTCTCTGATGTGAGGTTATATACTCAATATACCTCTTCAAGTGCAACTTGAGTATTTTTGTCTCAAGTTGTCACTTGCTCAGATAGACTTGCGCTTCTTTTTTGGGCTCATAGGCATTGGCTTTGATACCATGTAGAATCATGAGATTCCAATCCAAAACCAATTGACTGTGGGAGGAATAACTCATATCCTGCTTTTCGTCTTTTTTTAAACTTGGGTGTTAGACGTGGGACTATATCCTCAACAATTAGTATTCAAGTTATTAGTTGAGCTATTGAAACAAAGAGCACATCACAGTTCATAATTAGTGTTTTTTATTGAATCATTTGTATGTCGTTTTGTGCTGCAACAGGTCCCTAAAATAACAGTGGTTGTTGGCGGAAGCTTTGGTGCTGGAAATTATGCAATGTGCGGGCGTGCTTACAGTCCAGATTTTATGTTCCTATGGCCAAACGCTAGAATATCAGTCATGGGAGGCGCTCAGGTAATTCTTACGTCAATATCAATGTTACTTCAGTCATGGGATTTCATGTTCCTAATACGGTCTCACGTTTAGATTCTTCACTGTTTTTGGTTCACCTTATTCATATCCAAACCTTTCTCCCATGAATCCCCACTCTATGAATTGAATTATGTGAAACTCAGCCAAATTAATCCCTTGTACGGTTACATATCTTCTGCTTTTTCTTTAGAGGTTGCTTTCCCATTAAAATTGAGGAATACCTCTTCCAATATGGCATTTGTTTTTTCCATGTTCAGAAGTGTTATGAAAAGAAGAATATAACAAATCAGAGAATGGAAATTAATATTATTATATCACAAAATGAATATAAGGCCAACAAGAAAAGGCCCACACCACAACTTCACATGCATTGGTGTTTTGAATCCAATTTCTCTTTGTTTATAGGCAGCTGGTGTCCTCTCCCAGATAGAAAAGGCCAACAAGAAAAGGCAGGGGATTCAGGTATTACCCCCTCCTCCTCCCCCCACCCCCACCCCCACCCCCCATCCCCCCCACCAAAAAAAGAAAAACAGATTAGTCATTCTTCTTTGCATGATGAACAAAACAAAAGAAAACATGAGCATATTATATATGTATGAGTGCAGTGGGGGAAGGAAGAGGAGGAAAGGTACAGGGCAGAAGTTGAAGAGAAATATGAGAGGGAGGGTGACCCATACTATTCCACAGCGAGACTGTGGGACGACGGCGTGATTGATCCAGCAGACACCAGAAGAATCTTAGCCCTTTCCCTCTCAGCTTCTATGAACCCCGGCGGCGCCGCCCCTCAAACCACCAGGTTTGGTGTCTTTAGGATGTGATATACCCCGGATAATAAACAAAGAAAATTGTTTCCCACATGTATGTAATAATGTTCACAGGATGGTTTTGAATATTTTCCTCGCAATATTCTTCTCTTTTCCCCTTTCGTTGGAATTAAGGCCTTGTTTTGGAACCACGTTTTCGATCAGCGTTAGCGTTTTGGATAAAATTCTAATGATGTAGATTCATTCTGAAACCTCTAACGCTAAAGGCTATCGTTATTTGATGCCAAACGGGGCCTAAATTAGGGATACTTTGTTTCGTTATTTGATCCGGAAAAGTGTACGGTATTGATACACGATCATGTGTTATTTTTATTTTTATGATGTGTGATAGATTAAAGATTAAATTTCATACTACGTAAATAATTCCTAATTACAGAGATTTTTAATATTTAGTCTTCAATTTTAAAATATTAAAACAAAACTTATATATTAAAAAATTTACACAAAAAAATTAGCAAAGAACGAGATTTGCATAACTATATCATTTGGTCAAAGCATTGACGTAAACATATTAAAAAAAGAATATACTCCGTATTTTGGACGAACGAATTTAAAATTATAAACCAAAAGTTGTGAAAGTTGAACCGACTTTATGTGTGGGACCAATTTGGCTGGTGACATAAAGGAGACATAGTGGGTCGAAAGTCTCATATTAAAAAGACATAAAATAATGATAATCAAAGGTTTTCTTTTTTCTTTTTTTTTTTGTTTTTTGAAATGAGTGTGTTCCAACATAGAAGCAAAGACGACATGGGGGGTGGGCCGCCGTGCGGTGGCAGCGACAACCGTGCACAACCGCCACCACGCACTTATACCCCCATAGCTTCTCTTCTCTCACTTAGACCTTATTATTATGGGCTCCCCATTATTAATTAATTCTTGAGTAATGCTAGAGTCACAAACAAACAATTCACAAAATTCACAAACTTACTTTTTTAACATTTTTTTAGAAATAAGATGCACTCAAATAATAAAAGATATTTTATTTTAAAATCCACAAAGGTCAAGTTTGTGAAGTTTGTGAACTATATGTTTGTGACTCTAGCATTTTCCTTAATTCTCACTTCTAAGTCCACACCTGACACCTCTATAACTCTTTTTCCGAGTAGCTTTTTCTCATTTAATATTTGTATACTATGGGCTTGTTAGGAAACAACGGTATAAATTATCGTTAGCATTTTGAAAAAACTATCTACGGAAAACGTTTAGTTTAATGTTTTCAAAGTAATCTGTATCGCTAAAATGTTATCTAAAATGCTAACGCTAATCTTTATAGATATTCCCAAAGAGGTCCTATATGTGGGATTATGCGCTCAAGAATCTTTACATTATATTTGGTTCAAAGAATTAGGAAGAGAAAAAATGGTCAGCTTTTATTTTTTTCACCAAAGTTGGAGAAATTTTGTAACTAGTTATCTTAGTTTTTTTGTGTGTGTTTTATTTTCTTTTTTTCGCTAACAAAACAAGAAAAATTATCTTATCTCATTTTTTTTCTTTTAAATTTTCTTGAACCATATAGTGTTAGTGTATTGCTCAGCCAAATACATAGTACTCCCTCCGTCCCAATTTAAATTCCTTCTTTACTAATTAACAATGTCAAACTTCATTCACTTTCTTTCTTGATTTTTGTTAGTCATTTAAAAAAATAAAATAGGCATGTCACCACTGGTTTTGTAGATCTTTTGAATACATTTTAGATATGTAATTTTTATTTTTTAATTTTATACCTTTTTTCGTATGAATTGATTTGAAAATAACTTCAGTCAAGTATCGTAAACCGAAATAGATACTCCCTCCGTCCTATAATGATCTTCCCGGTTCGCAAAACGAAGAAAAATCTCAAGTTTTTTCAATCTATTTTATTTAAATATTGGTATAGAAATAAAAAATAAAACATACATATTTAAAAACTACACCAAAAGTTCAACAAAACAAGTGGTGACAAGAATATTTTATTTTATCATATAGGCCATGAAAAAACACAAATAAATATAAATTCCCGTGAAGTTGGAATAGTGCTCTGGGAAGATCATTATAGGACGGAGGGAGTAATTTAAATTGGGACGTGGGAAGTATTTTTAAAAAGAATTTATGGTGTTGCATAGTAACATGTCGCACAATAGAGCTCCTTCTTTGTATAATCTTTGTGTAATACAATCTCATCAATTTTAACTACACCCGTAATGAAAAAGTAATTTTATTAACACTAGTGTTATTTAAAGAATTGGACATTATTATAGTACGGAGTGCTATATAAGTCAATTTCCCTAATTAAAATATTTAATTATGAAATGTTAACTTGTAGGACCTTGTTACCTTTGGGCTAAGTATATTCGGTCTGGGAAACGAAAGCATTTTGGTAGGAGAGAAAAAATAAAAGACAAAGTATTTGTTTAGTTTTAAGTTTTTCCACTGAACCGTTTTCAATCTTCGACCCATAATTAAATAAAATATATATTGCATATTAAATATATAAAATAATATTTTTTTTAAATATTTTATATAATAAATCTAATAAAACTATTCTTGTATAAATATCTAATATTATTTTTCTTTAATTTGGGCCAAATTTTATCATTTTTGAATAAAAGAAGTCAAAAAATTTAGAAGACAAGGTCCACACATATAACATACTCGATCTCTACCCTACAGACCAAACATGTGTGTTGGGCGAAAATAGTTCCTATTCTATTTGCCATTGTAGATATATAGAACATGTATTATGCTGTGCCCCCCCCCCCCCCTGCATTGAGAGAGACCTTTAATAAATGTCATTATTTTTTTTAGAAAGAACTCATGTCATTCCTCACCAAATTGATTGGGTTAAAAAAGAAAATAGTAAAATTATGTGATTTTACATAATTACTCTCATATTCAATAGATGGCATCACGATTTGAAACTCTTACGGAGCGGAGTATATGTTTACATTGATGTTCTCGTTACAGATATTTTGTCTGTTCAAAAAAAAGTTACTTGTTTGATTTGATATAACGTCTTAATAAAGTAAAATTTTGTTGTTGAATGTGATGTAAAAGAGAGGAGATATCTCTTACTCGTAATTAACATTGAGTTCGACTCTAAATGAAAACACCAATACAATTGATACGAAGAACGTGTAGAATAGTGAAGGATTTCGAGCACCCTTCAAGCTCTAGAAAAATTGAGAGATTGAAGATGAAAAATTTAAAGAAAATAAAGAGAGTCGAGAGGGTGAGGAAGAAGAACGAGATCTAAGATAAGGAGGGAGCTAGGGCTTGAGAGAAAATATTGGTACTCGTTAATAATCTCTAAAGGTATATTTATATAAATTAAATTAAAAATAATTTCAATCAAATATAGTAATCTGAAACAAGTTCGAGTGTTCGACGAGTATTTACATTTTTTTACTGAGTTAATGATCAGTTAATTTTTGTTTTAAAAGTCTCCTCATAATGAATGGAGGTATGTGATGATGATCACATCATTCTTTGAGCATCGATTTTATTTTATTGTTGACAAAAGGGAAATGCATTATTTTATATTTTTTCGTTAAAAAAAACACTTTTATCACAAGTGATGAAAATGAAAAAAGAAAATCTAGCAAACTTGACTTCGAAATTTTAGAGGAAAAAAGACAAAGAAAAAACTAAACCAATCATATGGAAAATCTTGAAACAGATCTCTTGCAAAAAATTCTTAGATGACTTCTTATTCAAAATATAAAATCTTAGACTTTGTTCCTTCCTTTTTAGTTTTTATGACTTACTTTCTCCATTTTAAGAATTTCATTCAGGCTTAACAAGTGGCGGTTTGTGAGAGTGGGTTCATAATATTTTTCATAATATCTACTCTTTTCGTTCTAAAATATTTTACATTTTATCTAAAACGAAACAAAATTTTAATTTTTTAAAATTCATTTTTGAAGATTGGTATAGAAATTAAAAATAAAACTTACATATTTAAAAATTAAGTCAAAAGTTCTACAAAACAAGAAGTGATAAAAATATTTTATTTTATCAAATAATCAATCAAAACGCCTAAATAAACAAAAGCTATTCTTCTAGACAACTAAGGCACTACCTTGAGCAAAAAAGAAGTAGATACTCCATGAGGGCATCCACAGTAGTAGCATCTGTTATTAGATGTCTAAATGTGGATCTCACTTCAAAGATGTTATTCTAGCATCTCTCTCAACATCTAACTCCTCCAATGCTAAGCATCTCATTTAGATGTCTAAACATTTGCTTTATTACATATTTTATTGTGTCCTACTTCCATATAAATAAAATAATCTTTTATTTTTATTTAAAAATTGGTATATAAATAAAAAATAAAACTTATATATTTAAAAAATACATTAAAAGTTCTATAAAACAAGATGTGACAAAAATATTTTATTTTATCAAATAATCTAGGAAAACACACAAATAAACAAAAGTTTCCACAATTTTTAAATAGTGTGTAAATATTTAGGTATGGAGGGAGTATTAAATAATTAAAGCTTTTATTAATACATTGCCAACAACACACCACGGTAATAAATGAAAAAAACTATATTTTAAAACACTCAGTTGGTTTGTGTAATTATTTTAAAACACTTAATTGGTTTATATAATTATATTAAAACACTCAATACTCAATTGGTTTGTATAATTATATTAAAACACTCATATAGTTATACTGAATAGGAACTTAATTTTTTTAAAAAAGTCATTGCAATTGGAACACGATAAAATTGCTAGCTAATTCTAAGAAAAGGCTATCAATAAAAACCTTCTACACTAATTAAAAGAAACAAATAAATAATAAAAATGACACATGGCACATTAACTATTGGAACACTATATTAAAGTAATTAAAGGAAGTAATAATTTCAAGTTGGAACACCGGTGCTCAACTTAGCATCTTTCCTTCTCTCTCTTCATTGGGCATCTTTATTGAGGATCTACCCACAATGGTTGCATCTCTTAACATTTCATTCTCTCTCATCCAGGCATCTCACTTGACCATCCCATTGGAGATGACTTGATACTCTTTAGTATATGTGGCTAACAGTGTGAACCCACCCTAATATACTCTATACTTCATACTAAGAGTTGTGGCAGTGGAAAATTGTGAAAGTGGTACTGTAGGTCCTCTTGACCCCACTTGGACCATTGTAGGTCCGCCAGTGCTTAAAACTTCAATCAGGTACATGCATCTCAGTGTACGTAGTTGTAGATACATCTGGCAAATATTTATTTTAAATTAACATAACATTCATTGTGGATCCGCAGAATGTTCATTTTCAATAATAATGTTCACCTTGAAGCTTGTTTAGCATAGTGTTCATTTTTAAACATGTTCATTGTGAAATAATATAGTGTTCATTCTGAAATATTTTTTAATTTACAAATTGGTCACAATGTACCAAGAAGAAGGTACATTCGGTTGTATTATACGGAGTATAATTTGTCGACCACAAAATTTTAAATTTGAAATTTTACAATTAAAGCTCTAGATATGTGTGTGTGTGTCTTATTAACATCTACATTTTGAATTATAGTGTAGCTAAATTTTCAAAACATAAAAGTTAAATGATGTAGTTATATAGCATGTTCGTAATGATAAAAGTAAAGGTTATATGGATTGAGAAACATGCATGCACAATTTCATTTTTAGGTGGTTCGTCTTTTCTAAAGTTCTACGGAGCATTGTGGCTTAGGTTTAACAACTCTATTCGTTTTTTGTTATCTAAATTTGAAATGTTGATAAAAACTTATCTACTCTTCTCGTTTCTGAGTATTTGTTCCCTTTTTTTGATTTTTTCTGATCAAAATTGGTAAACTTTTACCTCAAATTAAATAAAAAATGGTATTAAATACTGATACAAAATAATTTTATCAGATTTATTATATCAAATATTTTCAAAATATTATTTTATGTAACTAATATATATAATACTCCCTCCGTCCCGTGAAACCTTTCCCCTTTCCTTTTTATCCGTCCCACAAAACACTTCTCATTTCTATTAAAAAGTCACTTTTACCCCTTACTTTTTCATACCCTAACTATCACATCATACCTTTTTACTAATAATCTATCCATCAAATCATACTTTTACCCATCACATCAAAGGATATTTTTGGAAATTCAATACCAAAATACACTACCTTAAATCCTTCCTAAAAAGCAAATGTCCCATGTTTCACGGGACGGAGGGAGTATATATTTTATTTAGTAGTGTTGACATGTGGCATGCCACATGTGCACCCATTAATGAGGTGGATGCATTTCATTGGTCAAATTAGTTTTATAAATGATCTTTTAATACATTCGTATAAAAAAATTCATTTTTAACAATTCTTTAAAAATATATTTCTCCATTATAAAATATACTCCGTATTATATGTGTGTGTGTGTGTGTGTATGGACACACACATACATATATATTGACACACAATTTATTGTCCATCTGCCATCTAATTACCCTCCAGTTAACCCTCATAACCTGCTAAGGAAAGATGATCTTTTTTGAGACATCCAAAAAGAAAATGAAAAGTCCTTTTTTAAAGAGAGGGAGTACAACATTGACATATCTTATTATATACTCCCTCCGTTCTCAAAAACATGTTCTCTTTCATTTTTTCCACTTCCAACAAAACATTTTCCTTTTCTATTAAAAAACCACTTTTACCCTTACATTTTCATACCCTACCTATCACATCATACTTTTTCTCTAATAACATATCCATCATATCTTACTTTTATCCATCACATTAGGGGCAAAATTGGAAATCAACTACTCCGTATAATTTAACACTTCCTTATTTTTGCCCTCAAATCAAAATGGGAAGTCTTTTTGCAAATAGAGGGAGTAGAACATTTGATCTTTTTAAAAATATTCTATGGTAAATTTAACGTCCACATGGACCTTCCCACACAAATATTTAGCAATAATATTTCGATACAAAAAATGATTATCTCGATATTTAGCAAATGCTTATCTAGGATATGTGAAATCCATCATAGACATTATGGACCTTTAGTCTAATTAAGAATTTTCCAATTTTTTAATGAATAAATTTTATTTTTATTTTCATACCTATTTCAAATACTCCCTCCGTCCCAGAGTATTAGTCAACTTTCATTTTTACACATCATCCAATGCACTTCTTTAATTCATTTTATATTGTAATTTGTATATTAAAAAATTATAGAAATTATATATTAATAATCTATATGTTAAGACAAATCAAACAAGATCACACATGACTATATTTAGGCTTACACATTGAGAGAATTTGATTAGTCAAAGTGCTTAGATGAACAATTCCAAAAGTCAAAAGTGGACAAAGAGAGTGGGATGGAAGTAGTACATTAAATGAGAAATAATTTTAATCAAAGTTTGTAACAACAACAAGTGATTTATATTGGAACAATAGAAATATTTTTTTATTTCGATCTTAATTTATAGTTAAACTTAATTTTAAAATATACAATTTTGTTCGAGTAATATAAATTATTTTGGATGGGATGCATTTTATTTTTCCAGAAAGAAAAAAAAGAGGATATGGGAAGGGAATGGGAACAAATAACGAGGGACAGCCAGCTGGCACAGCACATTCTGTCTTCGTCTTTGACCATTGACCAAACACCTAAGCCCACGTCCAGCGGGGGTAAAATGGTGATAATCAAATAAAAGCCTAAATAGGGAGTAGTAGCAAATATAGGTCGGTCCAAAAATAAAACACAAACACACGCCTAATTGAATGGCGGGTGCTGCTGGTGCCACTGTGCATGCAGCGCAGGAATACTTAGTACGGAGTAGTTTTTTTTTGTTGCTGTTCTTGTGTGCTCTTGTCACCTCACATATTTTTGCTCAAAATTTCGAGAATCAAACCAAACCTCAAATCCAACAAACTCACTTGGGAATTAGGGAGTAACATAAACTGTAAGTCTAAAATGATATCAGTGCCACTGGTATCATTTGCTTACACCAGTTCATTTAGAGTACTTATAGTGCTTCATTTGTAAAAATAACGGTTCCTACACTCCCTAACCCTCCCCCTAAACCCCCCACCCCAGCCCCCTGGAGGCAATGTACATTATAAATTTTAGACTTTAATTACTCTCTATAGGTATTGTATCTAATACAATATAATAAAATTTTGAAAATTATCAACAAGATAAATCTAATGAAATCATTATTAAACTAAAATACATTATAATTTTTTTCAATTGAGATTTTAAAATTCATTCAATTTAATCTAAAAACTCAAACTAGACAAATCTGTTGGAACAAACGACAGAGATGATATTTTAAAACAAGCTTAAACATATTACATATATAAACAACTTTAACACTTGGTATAAAATACTAGTCACAGGGAGCAAAAAAGAATTCGTATTTTTAAAAAGTGAACAATTTATACTATGAAAAGATTTTTCTTCTCTTAACCAACTCTAATTTGCAATTTTGCACAGAAATAAAGTACTCCCTAATACGGACTACTTTCATAAATTGTTTTTTTTTGTAGAGGGGAGGGAGTAGTAATTAAGAATATAGGGAGTAGATTTATGGAATCGAATTTGGTCTTTAATAATGATGCAATTTTGAAAAATTGTCTGCATGATGTTGGACTACACCTCCCTTTTCTTTTTATTGAAAAGAAAATGGCTTTGCACTATTGTGGTCAAATTCTCGTTCCATGCATCCAGCGATTAAAGTGCAGTCACGTCATGATAAATTTTATTTGAAGCATGTGAGTGTGTACGTGTTCATATGTGAATTTTTTCTTCTTTTCAAAAAATAAAGAAAAAGAAAAGAAAAAAGTCATATCATATCATATCATATCAGTTGCTGGTGCCTTTAACAATATATAAATACTCACTCCGTCCAAAATTAAACTTTACATTACGCGTTATGATGTTTGAATGAAGTTATTTTTAAATTCTTTATATGAAAAATGGTGTAGAATTGAAAAATAAAAATTACATATTAAAAAATTATATCAAAAGATCTACAAAACTAAATGTGACATGACTATATTATTTTATCAAATATGTGACGAAAAAAGGCCAATAAAGTGAATAAAGTTTGACCCTGTGAATACTGAATGCGGACGGAAGGAGTATAAATATAGTCCGTAGTTCATCAAATACCTGTCCCATTTAGGGGCATATCCTTTCAAAAGTAATTGCACTTTGTTCGTTACTTTTGCTTCTCTGTGCCTGAAACGGACCCTTGTGGTTGCAATTTATCAATATATACGGAGTATTCTTATATATTAGTCTAATTTTCTTCTTTTCTAAGTATTTATTAGCATAATTTTTTATATATGAGTATCATTGTTATCAATAATTGAAGTGGGATAATACTCATTTGTACACTCTAGACTTAACATACACTAAACAAGAAACAATAGATGGCCACGGGAGGGTTAAGTTGTTTGCGTGAGGGCATGCACAATATGTTTCAATTTTGTTAAAATTTGTAGCAAGCATGCCATAGACACATGCATGGCAAATTACTCCCTCCGTCCCACTTTAGATTACAATTTTTTTTTTTTTGAAATTAAGAAAAAATCCAATCAATTTTTTCCCCAAATTACCCCCAAGTGGCCCACTCACATGGATGAATAATATAGGAGTTGGAAGGTAAAAGAGTCAATTCCTTGTAAAGTTATTGACTTTGTAATTCTTTTTGGGACAAAAATGTGAGAGAATATTGTAATCTATTTCGGGACGGAAGGAGTATTTTATAAATTTTTTTTCACTTGTTATTTTAATTGAAGGAATTGACGAAATTGAATTATTTGGCACACGGAATTGACGGAATTGAATTAACGGTCCATTTAGTACACAAAATTGGTGGAATTTTAATTGAATTGAGAGTTGAGATTCTATGGAATTGATTTGGATGAAATTAAATTTTCCAATTCTAATTCTTTTTTGCACAATCAACTCCAAATCCACGTATTTTTAAACTACTAAAAAGTAGAATAATTAGAATAGTTGATCTGAATTCTAGTTTCAGGTTAAATTTTGTGTAGTAAGCAGTGCTTTAGACTTTCATTTTATTTTACTAAATTATAAAAACATTTTAAAACAAATGGTGTAATTAACAATAATTTTGTGAGGAAGAGTATATGTAAACAAATTAGACAAAAGGAGGCAGTGGGTCCAAACCTTTATCTCCAATGGAACATTAGCTTTGACCGCCACATGACCAACTTGTCCTTCGCTTCATCCACCCAACTAACTAACTACGGTTAAGCTTAACCGGATGTGTGGTTAGAGGAATTACCACGCGCACGTGTGGGGTAGCCACTGCAAAATTGTCAGAACCGAATTACATTTAAGCCAACATTATCAACAGAAACTCAGAGAAGAGAAAATCGCCCTCCCTCCAAAGCTCTGTTTGGTTTGTCTCTCTGTTGTTCCTCGCCCCCCCGCCTATCACTTTCTTCTCTCTTGTTAACGTCTAGCATACAGCCAAACAACACCCAGATTAGAAATATAAAGAGAAAGTAATTCAGAAAAGGAAGTGATCAAGTGAAGAAGAGAATGCCGGCGAGCTTAGAGCCGTTGGATATGGCGGGGATTCAGATCCCTTACTATTTCCGGTGTCCCATCTCGCTGGAGCTCATGCGGGATCCGGTGACCGTTTGTACCGGCCAGACGTACGACAGGGAAAGCATTGAATCGTGGGTGGCAACCGGGAACACGACGTGCCCCGTCACGCGTGCGCCGCTGAAGGAGTTTAGTCTCATACCGAACCACACTCTCCGGCGGCTCATTCAGGATTGGTGCGTCGCGAACCGGGCTTTTGGCGTGGAGCGGATTCCTACGCCGAAGCAGCCGGCCGAGCCGGGATTGGTCCAGTCCTTGTTGGGCCAGGCCTTGTCCGGGTCCGGTAATTTGAAGTCCAGAATTTCTGCCCTGAGGAGACTCAGGGGACTCGCTCGCGACTCGGACAACAACCGCGCCGTTATTTCCGCGAATAACGCGCCGGAAGTTTTGCTTGCGATCGTGTTCTCGAACATGGATGTGAGCTCGTCCGAGTTAACTCACGAGGCGCTCTGCATTCTCTCGATGTTCCAGCTCTCCGAGGCCGAGTCCCTCTTCGTCGCTTCCGATCCAGACCGAGTTCGTTTCCTAGTGTCCATGCTCTCTCACGCTTCAATCGACGTCCGAGTTAACTCAGCTGCGGTGATAGAGTCCGTCCTTTCCGGAACGAAATCGCCGGAGCTACGATCTCAGATCGGGAACGTCAACGAGATCTTCACAGGAATAGTCGGAATTATAAATTCTCCTCCGGCGCATCCGAGAGCGTTGAAAGTCGGAATCAAGGCCTTGTTCTCCCTGTGTTTGGCCAAACAGCACCGGGAAAAAGCGATTACAGCCGGAGCCACGGAGGCGTTGATCAACAGCTTCCAGTATCTCGAGAAGTACGACGCCGAGAGAGCTCTGGCCACCGTGGAGCTTCTCTGCCGGATTCCGTCGGGAAGCGCGGCGTTCTCAGCCAGCACGTTGACGGTCCCGATCCTCGTGAAGATAATCCTGAAAATATCCGAGCGAGCGACGGAGTACGCGGCGGGAGCCTTGCTCTCCCTGTGCTCCACCTCCGATCAAGCGCTCCGAGACGCCGTGGACGCCGGCGTGTTGACGCAGTTGCTGCTTCTCGTCCAGAGCGGATGCACGGAGCGAGCTAAACGGAAAGCCCAAACGCTGTTGAAACTGCTTCGCGATTGTTGGCCACTTCGGGATAATGTCTCTGCGAATAATTCGGATGATTTTGTTTACTGCAACGTCGTCGTTTAGCCATAGATCTCTTGTTTTTTTTTTGGGTCTTTTTATACTCAATTTCAATGTAAGAATTCCAAAATTAAGGTCAACAAAAAAAGGAAGCAATTTATTTGTTCATTGTGCTTATTTGTGCGTTAACTCGTTTGTTTGAAAATATTTTTCATTGCATTCTCTAATTATTTGTAGTTGTATACCCATATGTATGAATATCTTGTAATATGAAAATACGGAGTACTTTTTCATTAATTATTAGTAAATATTTTCTCGATCATTATTTACTCGATCAAGTTTTATCTATTTTTTGACCTATTTTTGTTATCTATTTCATAAAATGTATATTGATGCTTAGTTTTGAATTCTTTTATGAAATTTTTTTAAATATATAATTTTTATTTTTTTAATTTCACACCATTTTTATATACAAATTAAAATGATTTAAAATTAACTTCATCAAGCATTATAACACCTAACAGGAAAATAAATTTTGGCTGGAAGGAGAATATATCTTTCAAGTTTAATTTCAACTCCATTATTTCCTCGGTATTTGTTATTAAGTAATTTACCTAAATATGACTAAAATATAATGACTTTATCAATATAGGAAATAATTTTTTTTATTAATGTAGGATTGTTGATCATTATCTATTAATCATTATTCAACTGAATGTCCAGCATCACTTGGACATTATTCTTCTCACAGCTCATTATTAAGTCTCATTTAGAAAATAAAAAAGTTTAAGTCCTACATTGGGAAATGACTTATGTTTTAGTCCTATTCAGTGCAAATTTCACTTTGTTATTCTACGCTCAAACTTTATTGTTTTATTTAATTTTGTTACACAGTATTGGTTTGATAAACAAATTCATATCATATTTTGTTTTGTAAATTCTTTAAAAATAATCTTTAAATATATAAAGTTTAATTTTTTTTACTCGACACTAGTTTCAATGAATTAAATAGAAATAATCTCAATCAAAATTCACAACAACATCTGCCGAGAATTATGAATTCAACAAAGACCTAATCGATCTAATTTCGTAAGCAAGTTTTCTCGTGTTTCTCCACTTGCCTGAAACATTTCCGCTGTTTTTTTATGTTTTAACATACTGGCAGAGTTATTTCCCATTACGGTACCGGCCGAAATATCCCCCATTCCTTTACTGGCGGAAATATTTACCGTTACGGTACCGGCGAAGGTATTCCCCGTTACCTTACTGGCGGAACATATCCCCGCTATTTTACCGGCGGACTATTCTCTCATTACACTACCGGGGGATAAACACTAGTAATATTTCTAGCGCTCGAATCACCGGCGGATTGACTTCCGGCGCAAGGCCGACGGTAACTACTCGGTGCTGGCGGTTTTTAGCCCTTTACGGGCGGATTTTTTCCACGCAAATACGAAGTATTCTTGTAGTGCTATGCAAATATCAACCACATGCTTCATTCTTTATTAGCAAATCTGTTATTGTCCAACTTGTTCCAAGGGACCTCAAGATGACATTCATCCTTTATAGAGTTTGCGAATAAAAAAAGCCAAACTTTAGGGCATGGCAGTGAGTTGCATGCATGCAAGCATAAAGTACTATGTACTACACAGCAGTAATGCCTGCGCACGCCACAAATATTACCCCTCCCAAAAAAATGTTACAAGGTGAAAAAAATGTAAGGTTAATTTTTTTTATTTAAAAAAAAACGCAATATTAATGTCACTTCTTTTACAAGGAAATAAAAAAGATGCCAAGTTTATTTTAAAAGAATGAAAAGTAAAATGCTCTATATAAAATTTATTTTTGAAACAGAAAGCATACTCTCTATATCACAACATAGCATCTACTTCTATGAAAAATCATAAAAACTAATGTAAAACTTTTTTTTGAATTTCTTCTAAAATTACTTAATAAAAAACTTTTTTAATTAAATTAAATTAAAATGTCTATTAAAATAAAGCATCAAAGTACAATACAGAACATAAAAAGTGGAATTTTAGTAGTATTTAAGTCTTTTAGGTCAAATTGGATTACGTTATAGGTCCATTCGGTTCAATTGGTCCGGACTTAAACCATTTCAAGTTTGGACATGATCAGACCAAAACTCAAATATCTAAATTTTTGAGACTAAAGACCGATCCGAAATTCATCGGATTCGGGTTCAGTCTAGACTTAGCGGTCCGGTTCCGATTTTTTTGACCCGGACCTAAACTTGAACAACCATTTTAAGCGATACACGAAACTTTACCTATGATCCATCATTGACTGCGCAAAATTTTAAGGAAGTCAAAAAAGGAAGAATCAAAAGAGATTTGATATGCCACTTTGACTAATATCAACATAAAACAGATTCTTTGATTTCTTTCTACATTATACACCTTGTGGCCTTAAAGATATGGGTACAGATTCAAGCAAATACTGAATTAAAGTAAATGCTAAAATCTAAAAACAATCTCCTCAATGATCACCAGAACAAGCAAAAATGGTTTCACATAGCTTAACAAATTACTCTGTATATCTTTAAGTAGGGAATATTATGATCAGCTCGATCGATTCTTTTGGAACCCATCATAGGTGTCATAATATTACACCGGATGATTTTGAGGGCCCGGTGCTCTGCTCGACTCCAAAGTAATTCCTCAGTCCACCCACCGCCCCTTGTTTCCCCGATATGCTAGAGTAAATATTATAGCACATCCGAAAAACAAGGGGCTAGTTGGTGGTTTTTGTGTGGAGGTTAGAGGGGTAGGAAACACTTCGGGGTCAAATGGAACACCGTACGACCTTTAAATGACATAGATTTTTTT